ACGGAATCTCTCTGTCGCTCAGGCTGGAGTGTAGCAGTGCTATCTTGGCTCACTGCAACCTCCACCTCCTGGGTTCAAGCAATTCTCCTGCCTCAGCTTGCCCAGTAGCAGGGACTACAGGCGTGTGCCACCATGCCCAGCTAATTTTTGTATTTTTAATAGAGATGGGGGTTTGCCTTTTTGGCCAGGCTGATCTCGAACTCCTGACCTCAGGTGATCCACCCGCGTTGGCCTCCCAAAGTGCTGGGATTATAAATATAAGCCACCTCACTCAGTGAGATTTTAATTTTGATAATCCAACTAATTAACTTTTGTGTGTGATTTTTCTGTTCGATCCTAAGAAATTGTTGCCTAACCCAAGGTCACAGAAGAGATTATTTTCTTTGTTTGCTTTTGGAAGTTATATTGTTTAAAGTTATATTTAGGTTTGTGATTCATTTTGAGTTGTTTTTGTATGTTGTACAATGTATGAATTGAGGTTCTTTTTTTTTTTTTTTTTTTGCAGTTGACTGTTCAGTTATTCTGGTACAAGTTGAGCATCCCAAATTAAAAAATTGGAAATCTAAAATGCTTTGAAATCTGAAACTTTTTGAATGCCAACTTGGTGCTCAAAGGAAATATTTGTTGGAGCATTTTAGATTTTGAATTTTCCGATTTTGGATGCTCAGCTTTGAAACACTTCTGGTCCCAAGCATTTTGGATAAGAGGATATTCCTGACAAGGGATACGTAGTCTCTTGTACAGATCCTTCATCATATTAGGGGAAAAGAGCAAGAGGTTTTAAACAAGAGACACTTGATACCTCTTTTACAAAATACTCTTATCCAGTGTATTAAAGTCTCTGCCCGGTTTTTACTTAATGTTTTGTCATGTAATTGGTTAAAAATTTAAGCTTTATTCTTACTAAGACAAGAAAAATCTAGGTCACTGGAATTTCTTAGTGAAATTAAAATGGCATCTGGGTCTTTTTTCCTTATCCTCCAATGGGTTACTCTTTAACCTTCAGTTTGGCAGGGGTGATAGTTATTTTTAGAGTACAGACAGTGGAGCTAATCTAATTAAACTCCTCTAACTACCTGGGGCAGTGAGCTCATCAGCTTTTCCAAGCTCAGCAAGATTAGATTTGGACTAGATTTTACATGAAAGTTGATCAAAGTAAAAATAGTGGATTTGTTGGAAATATAACACAGTGAAGAATGAAGAAAACAGTCTGGATTTGGGTCAAATATGGTCTCTGCAGACCTCAGTTTGTAAAATAAGTTTGTATTCTTCAGTGATGGAATTTTTTTTTTTTTTTTTTTTTTT